CCTCCTTACATGTTTATTTGTTGTTTTCTCAGAGAGTAATGATGCAGATTGTCCAGGAGCTCTGCAAGCGACCAGGACTCAACAAATGTGGTTTTGACATGCCCACTATCTATATTCCTAATCCAAACAAGGTAAGCGCTGCACTTTCAGTGGGTTTTAGATGATTGTCGGCTTTTAAGTTCATACATCAGCAGCTTCTACTTTGCATTCAGTGTCATTCCAATTAGTTTAATTAACTCACTGACTGTGTTCCTCTTTTCAGCCAAGTCGTTGTGTCAACCAGATAGAGGAGGTGTGTCGCACCGTTGAGAAAACTATTAACCAAACAGTCCAGAATACCCTGAACTCTCTGGAGAAGGACTGTGAGCTCATTAGTGAGGCCATCACTGATACCCTCATTAACGACAGGTAACACACACACAAACAGTCTGCGTTACAGACAGTAATATGATACCATATAAATTTGGACCTGCACAGAAAGTTACTTTATTAAACCCAGATTAGTGCGACACACAGAGTGGCATCAGTCAGTGATGCCTTCAGATAATAACCTTGACCCCCTGCTCTCTCAGGCAAACCAGTGTAGAAAACCGACGAGCACGCTGTAAGAGCTGCTTCCTGACTCTGCTGGGCTTCAGCGTCCCGATGGCTCTGATGGCTTTACTGGTGCTGGGCGCTCTGTCCAAAGAGATGCTGGAGATAGCTCTGGGCCACGAGGGCAAAGAGGCGCTCTCACTTTACCTGGTGAGTGTCCAAGCAAGTACACATTCACAGAGAATCTTTGATGTGGGTGGTCAAAGCTAATTCTAGCTGCTCTTATCATCCACAGACTCCCATAGTGAGAATATTTGACTCCCTCTCTGTGGAGCAGCAGCTCTACAGCTGTGGCGGAATGGTCCTTCTCTCCTTCCTGCTGCTCCTCATTGCACGTTTCTCCTTCAGGTAGGAGAGTCAGATCTCGGCACCATCACAGCTTTTGGTTTGAATTAACACAGTCTTGCTGTATATATTGAATATTGCTGTACTGTAACATACTTGAAGAGCATTTACCCTTTTATTGTAATATCCTTTACATTGTGTAAACACTTAATCTAATTTACCCCTTTTCTCTTAAGTACAATTTTTAATATTTTATTTTTTTTGGTTATTTACCTTGCTTTCTCTAATGGACAAGTGCAACTTGGTTGCTTTATTCTTTATATTAAAGCTCGACTGTTACTGGATTTTAGACATTATTTTTTCATTTCCCCTTATTGGATGGAGAAGATAATCTCAATTTGTTTGTAGTTTGGCAGCTGCATGTGCTTACGGCTCCCTGTGGATTTGAAGCACTACTGTTGAAGATTAAAAAAACAAAGCATATACTGTGCTAATAGCAATAGACTTTGAGGAGTTTCCCTTGACTTCTTTGCAGGACTCGACCGACTCTGTCAGGCAAACAGAAAAGGCAGCTGCAGGAGAAGCTGGAGTATGTTCAGGAGGTGGTGAAGACCAAAAAGGTATTGTGACTGTCAATTGTTATGAAATGTTACTGGCAATAAATTGGCTGTATTTCAGCCTGTTTAACTGTCTATCTCTTCCCTCTAGAAAAAGCTCTATGAAGAATACCTTCGCCAGAGTGTCAGTGACCAGGACATGGATTTGTAAAGAAAGATGAGATGTACAGAAAAGACTCGGCATCCCCACAGTGACCTAGGACCAAATGAAAGTAAAGCTTTTCCGATGAACACGCTAGCTCTGATGTCTCTGACCACTTGATTCTGTGTTTTTTGTGTGCAGATGTAAATTACAGTTGTATTACACCCATCTAAATCCAGCTGCTTTGAATACTGTAAAGTAAAGTAAAGCCTGTATTACTATTAGTAGATGTTACCTCTGTAAAAACCATTAACCTACACTACCTGCAGATAAGTAGGGTTCACTATCATGTCAGATGAACTTTTGTTACTGATTGCTTGTTTGTTGTGAGCATTTCTAAACTGTGTCTTCTGTGCCTCTGCTCAACAAAGGAATTCAGGCTTATACCACTTAAAGATATTTTTAAAAAACTGCAAACTATTTATGATATTACTTTATCAGAGAAACTGTATTTTGGTTAAACAGCAATAGCACTGGTCTACGTAAGTCACTTTGTATGTGTTACTGTTTCTGAAAACATTTCACCAGCATTTTATACGGTACTTTGTCTGCTTTGTATCATGAAATTACAGTTTTGGTATTAATACAGGAATTTACATCAAGAACATCTGTGTCATAATAATGAGAGTAATGAATTATCTACACATCTGCTATTGAAGTAAATTAAGATTATGAGTCAGCAAACATTTTATCAGTGACCAATTCAAGTTTTTGTACTTTCGTGTCCTACATTGTGACTTTTAATCATTGATTAATAAAAAACTATATTCAACAGAAGAAATTAGACTTTTTCTTAACCTTGCCATCTTATGGGGGGAATTGCAACTCTTCAAAAAAGTGTGATTTGGAAAAGAAATCCCAGACTTTCTATATGACAAAAGGATAATAATCTTTATGTACTGTATAGTCATGTACACCCATACTACTTATTTGCCTGTACTCTGCCACATCCTGTTTGACTGCAAATGGATGAAGCTATGGCTGAATGCATTCCCTCTCAATATCACATTTCTAGATGAAAGTGGAAGAGAGGCATGTACGAAATTCGTTGGTATCACCATTTCAGGTGGCCACAAGTTTGTTGAGAACAAACTAATTACAGGTTCTGTGTATTTCCTGTTTTAAACCAAACACAGACCCTGTACAGCCATGTCTCTGTCGGGCAAAGGAAACAGGTGCAAAAAGACTGAACTGTAAAGCTGCTGCAAATAAGATAGTTTCATGATTACATACATTTTCTGTGAAGGACATCAAAGAACCATAGATCATATCAACATGCAGTATGAAAAGTGACCTGCTTTCTACAGAGGAAACATTATCCTGCAGAACTCCAGGGCCAGTTCCGTGTCAAAGCTGATAATACACTACAGTACGCATCCAAATTAGGCACTTTGCACTTGCAACTTAGCACTATGACAGGCACAAACATCCATGCAATCAGATTTCTGTGCTGATTTTTGTTTTGCTGGAAGCTAGGCTTGGGCAATTCCTTGAGTTTAGTTTAGATGGTGAAAACCACATGAAGCCATGACAGAGCAACACATTTCCCCAAGGCCATTTAAATTCTGACCTTCATCAGCAGATCCCTCTTCCAGCACCAAAAACAGAAAGCTGGCTAAAAAAAAAAAAAAAAAAAAAAAATTATGGCTAAAGCATCCAACAGACTTCAAGATAAAGAATCCATAACCAAACTTAAAAATGAACATATCATCTTCTCCAATAATACCAGCAGTCCTCCAGCAGAGGGTATCCATATTCACCTCCCTGTTATTTTCATTATAATATGCTCAGGGTAATTGAAACCATTCGCGAACTACTGTCCGTGAACGTTTCCCTAAAGTATTTCAGGAAAGTTTGGTAAACGTTCATTTTTGGTAAAAGTTGTGGTTATACCATCTGTGGTATACATCACAGTAGATGGTGCTATTGTAACATTTTGGAAACTCATCGTAGACATCCCTCGTCACCCCCACCCCCCTGTCAATTAACCATACCCACACGTGACTCTTCTATTTGCTGAAAGAAGACCTGCATTGAAAATCCACGTCTGCTGGAGTAGGTAAGCCAATTTTGAAAAACAGTTTTAAGTCCAACTTACATCGTCATTTTTTACTTGCTGACTGAGTTATACCACGTGTCACACTTTGAGCATTTTGCTCTTTTTTGAGTAAAACCAAAACATGCTAACATGTAGCTGTTAGGTAAATCAATCAATCAATCAATCAATCAATCGGTCACCAGTGGGGCAATTGGGTATGCAGCAATTGGTTATAATGCTATAACCATAACTACTCATAGATTTTTATTTCATGCACATAAATTGTCTTGGGATTATATAACGCTGACTTTTTATTTCTACATCATTAATTGGTTAAATACAGGGATTACGAAAGTGGACCATATTCACAAATGCTTTTCATTTATTTGTAAATTAATTTAATGTATTCACAGATATGTTTTTATTCGTGGAATTTGTTTGAGTATTTGCAAACCGTTTTATATTTGGAAGATATTTTTGTGAGTGAACAAATTTATTTTTTGTATTTGTGGAAGGTTTTTTATATTTACAGATCACACATTTAAAACAGGATTGTCAATCTGGTCACACAAATAATACGGAGACAAATCTACCTACCTAAGCCCACTTTCCTCTTCACCTGCTTCCTCCATAAATTTTCACATCTCATTTCCTCTTCTCTCCTTCATTCTTTTCCTCCCTTTCTCTTCCACTCATCTGTTTCTACTCTTTTCTTCACTCCTCAAATCCAGACTGTCTCCTCTGTCCACTTCTCATGCGTTCTCCACTCCTTTCCTCCTGGTTCTTCTTCACTTATTTTCCTCCTCTCTCCTTCTCTTAACTTTAGGTTTTCTCTCCTTTCTCACTCCCCTCATCATCTCTTCACCTATTCCTGGTTCCTCTCCTGGGCCACAGGTTGTCCTGTCCTTTCCTCTTGCTCTCTTCATGGCTCGGCCAGTGCGCCGAAAATCAAACCATCAAGTGTTCTGCATCAAGCCCGAATGCTCCGCAAGTTGCCAGGCAACAGATTTTAGCTGTTTCCCCCGTACAGTACTTATAGAGCTCCACTGATGTGTCAGTCCAGTCAGAGAGACTGGGAGAATATGACATCAAGCTGAAGGTGTGGGCTGCCAACCACCGGACATGACTGGAAACCTACTTAGGGTGTGGGATGGTGGATATGGGCGTAGCAGTTACAAAAAACAAAACCTGAAACCACTTTTCTTGGTATTTTAGTACCATTTAACCAGTCAAATAAAACGCAGATTAAAACTCAAGACAAAGTGGGAAAGGCTTTTGAGAACAGGAAGGAGGTTGACGTGATTTCCGCAGGCTTAGACCGGGGAAAGTTGTTTCCTGAAGTTGACACTGTGCTGATAATTTCCACACCAAAGTCCCGGTGTTCGTACAAATAAGAAACATGACCTGGACAGGTTTGTCTGACCGTTGGTAGTGGTTTTCCTCGTCAGCCGATGAGCTGTTTCTGGGGGAGCTGTCTGACGAGAGGATGAGCTCCAACACTGAAGACACAGGTAAGAAATAAAAACACCGTTAAACTTTAATCTCCCTCACGTCTAACAGGATTGGCTGTGACGTGACACTAACCTCTTTACAACTTTAACAGTAGTAAACATTAACTTCAACCTGTTGCTTGTCTTCAGGGAGACCTGTTGATTTTTTAGACCGACAAAACGGCCTGTTAGCATCGGTGATGGTAGAAACGAACTCGCGTTGCTAGCCGTTAGCTGACACTAACACTCGTGTTCAAACTGTGGTCCGGAGACCTCTGTAAACCTCCTTAAAAGGAGTTTAATGTGAGATTTTTTACTCTGAATACATTCATTCATTGCGAGAGATCAGTTTCACTTCTCTGAATGCAAGTATCATATCTGTATAGCTAACCGCTAATCGTTTAAACAGTGGTGGAGGAAGTATTCAGAGCCTTTACTTGTGTAAAAGTAGAAATACTGCAGTAAAACAGTACTTCATTACAAGCGAAGGTCGTACATTCAAAATGTCACTAAAGTAAAACTACGCATTATTAGCTTAAAGTACTCACAGTATCAAAAGTACTCCCAATGCAGAAAAACGGTGTGACCCTATTATTGTTGAGTTGAGTGATTTAATCTATGAAAGTGTTTTGCATATCAAATGAATAGCTGTCAAATGAATGCAGTGGAGTGAAATGTGCATTTTCTTCTGAATTGTAGTGGAGACGAAAGATAATGTAGCATGAAATATAAATACTCAAGTAAAGTACAAGTACCTCGTATGTATACTGAAGTACTTATATACATTTCACTACTGAAAAGTATTAGTGTGTACTAATGTAGGTCGTTTGGGAACTTTCAAGGTAGAGTTGGAACAACGCTTGTTTTCTGATAACAGAAGAGGACAAGCAGAGTAGGCTTCTCAGGTGTGCCTTGGCAGCAACAGTAACACAAAGATGAAGAGGTGTGATTTTGCTATTTGGAGTCCCAAAGTATTCCCACAATAGTTGAACCCCCTCCTGTATATTTGACATTTAAAAACACAGAAAATTAATTGGCACCTATTTGGGTAATCAAAATCATTCAAGTCAGTGCCAGCTATTCTGACAATACATTGTACAAATGTATTTGGACAAATGTGATGTTGTTGTTGTTTTCTGCTTTTCTCTTGTTTTATGTCTTCATAAGTCAAATATCTTTAACTTGTAACATCTCTAACTTGCTTGTTTTGGTCAGACAAAACAAGCAAGTTAGAGATGTTACCCTGACCTCGGGGAAACTATCACAACCATTTTTCACTCTTTTGTGGGATTTCTTTATTAGTTTGAAGGATAAGTAAATTAATTGAAGGAACAATTCAGTATATCTCCTCTCCTCATCAATATCCTACTGTACTAAACAACTGCTCATGTGCCCTGAAATACTTTCATATACAGTAAGAATGTTGTCAGGTGTTGTCATCCATAGCCTAAACCTAGCACATGATAAGGTTTGTGAAAATACAGATTATCATGTGACGGGCTGACCTGTGTAGAGTAATCTAAGGATTTTTATGCCACAATCAAACAGTAAACAACAAGGATAACACAAACATGCTGTGTAGTTTAATAGAGCTAAAATAATGCTAGGAATGCATCCTGTATTGATCAGTGACATCAGATGAGCTTTCACCTCATCTTATTGTTTTGTATTTCCAGGTCTTGTCTGATTGCTAGAAATGCAGATTTCTTTTAATGACGTCACCTGACTGTTTACCACATTTGTGAGACTCGATCATTGCTTATGCAAACAACCACAAAACAACATAATGAAGGCACAACACAGAAATCTGTTTGTCATTTTCAGAGACGAGCCTACAGGCCCAGCTAGCCGATTGCCGAGCTCAGGTCGAACACTGGCAGGGTGTGGCGACGATCTGTGAGCTGAGCAAACAGGAGGAACTGGCAGAGCTGCAAAAACAATGTGATCAAGAGATCCAGTCTTTGCAGGAGGCTCTTAGAGGTCAGTGTGTGTGTGTGTGTGTGTGTGTGTGTGTGTGTGTGTGTGTGTGTGTGTGTGTGGCTGGGCCTGTGTGTTTACATGCAAGAGTGAAACATGGTGTGTTTGTGACAGTCCTTGTGGGCACATTGTCTGGTAATTTAACATAATAAGACAGTACTCTCTGTTCGTAAGGAGAAAGAAATGAGAGCCTAAATAATCTGAAGCTGGACTCCGTGTGTGTCACATCTAACATTTTTCACATAGATGCCAACACTGTATTATTCGGTAAACATTGAGAATTGGAGATTAGCATTTCATTGTTGGACAAACACAAGAGAAACTTCATGTGTTTAACATAAATACAGTAAAAGCATATCATAAATAAAATCATACAAGTTTATACAAGAAAATATACTCATTTATATATCACATAAAAACAAAATTTACTGGATACCACAGAATATTTTTGTTTTATGAGCATATTCAGTGTACAGAATGTTTTTACACTCTGACCTTGTTTGCAGGAACTGTATACATAAGTAATATTTAACTGATGGGAAATGTCTCAATTGGTTTCATTTTAATGATACAAACCAGTTTTTACTTCTTAAAAAAAGAACTGGTGCTGTTTTGTAATGGGAACTAAACAGCTGTACGGTTGTCATTTTAATTTCATTTCCTGTTTGTGTAGTTTCTAATTGAGGTCAGATGGTTAAAATAACATAATTGACAGTGTTGTCTTAAAATCAGTTGTTTTAGTTTTAGTCGGACATTTGATACAAAGCTCAGATTGAGTGCACTAAAATTTTTGGCATGCAGCCTAGATGTTACCTTAAAGAAGATAAAAGGTCAGGAGGAAGCAGAGAAACATTCATTCATATATATATATATATATATCCTTTTTAAAACAATTAAAGTTTGTTTATAGTGTTATAACTTTTAAAAAGTCTTACTAATAAAACTAAATGCAATCTTGTCCAAACCATATGACTGAAGGATTAAATGACTTCATCATTATTTTCTTCTCCTGTTGTGTTTACAGAGACAGCAGCACAGTATGAGGCCAGGATAGCTGTTCTTCAGTCTCAGCCTGTGGAATGGAGGAGAGCCAGTGGACAGAACATGGTCAGTGTTTAACTTTCTTCAATTGTGTCCAAGTGTTCTCGGACCCAATCTCAATTTGTTTTTCTCTACCTGTTAGATCAGTGGGAGGAAAGGCAGGATGGACGCTGAAGTCTCCAGCAATGAATCCTCAACACTGATCAACAACAGCCTGACAGAGGCTGAGGCATCGCTTTCTGCAGGCAAGACACACAGCCAACCAGCAGAGCTTGAGGCAGTGGCAGAGGGAGAAGGAACTCCACTTACGACAGAAGGGTATTTTTCACTGCGGAACTGCGACTCGGCCTCGTTGTCCTCCTTCTCCTTAGACACACCCTCCCTGCCCCGTAAACTCCATGCGCAGGACGACACAGATTCGCTGGTGTCCACAGGAACTTTGGTGCCTGAAGCCATTTACCTGCCACCGGCTGGACACCGTCTGGTCACACACTGCGACTGGGATGCGCTCAACGCTCAGGCATGTCCTCTTTTGTAATACATTTACATACAAAGACACAAAATCCACTTGCAGAAATGTAATTTTCAGCTGCTTCAGTTTGTCTCTGAAGAAAAAAAAATATTCATCATGTCTTTGGGACATCTGATGTGTACTTCACAACGTCTTTCAACATTGAAAATATTGTAACTTTGTGTATTTATATATTCATGAAAACATTGTTTCTCCTCAATCTGTGTAATTTTAATTTATTCCGGCATGCTTTCAGTCTTCAGTCAGTCAGGTGTAATGAGAGTGTGCTGTGTTGTGCTGGGCAGGTGTCAGAGCTGCGGGGGGAGGTGAGTCGGCTGCAGGCTGAGAAGGAGGAGCTGGAGAGAGAACTGGACACACAGACCAACCACACACACAAACAGGTGGGTAATACTGCACTGCAGAGTGTGGGTAGACACCTGTGAGTGTGTAGAGACTGTGAGTCAGTTTCACACAGTGTCCTCATAGTGTACACATCATATCACAGAGTGGCAATGACATGCACAGACTTATACACATGTTAATGTGTTGGTATGTTTGTTCAGGTTACAATGCTGCAGTCTCAGGTCCAGACCTCAGAGGCCCTCCTCCAGGATTTGCAGAAATCTTTTAGCCAATCACAGAATGCCGTCCAGAGCCGGCTGGTGAGTGACATCTTGTTGATCCTACCTGGTGTGTGTGACTGTGGCAGGGATGGTCGGAGAGCTTTAAAGAGAGCTTGGACAGAGCCAGACTTGCTGTTTAAGCTCTTTATACTAAGTTAAGCTAACTGGCTTCTGGCTCTGGTTTCATCTTTATCGTACATATATGAGAGTGGTTTCAGTCTGCTCACAATAGTCTTTGTAAGAAAACAAATAAGCCGGTTCCCCAAAATGTTGAACAGTTCCTTTAAATTTTCTTATGATTACTTTTATTTTATCTGTCTTGATTAAAAAAATGGAAAGATGTCAAGAACAGAAATTAAATTGTCTTTTTGTTGCAAACGTGTAACTCAAGTGCACAATGACTCACTCACCCATCACATTAAACCAACAATAGTCACTTGATTCCTAGGGCAAGTCTGTAGTTGTGTGCCAGCATACAATTTATTAATACCTTACTGAGTAGGTGTTAAAAGTTGCAGTTTTCTGTCCAGGCAGAGTTGTCCCTCTCTCAGAGGAAGATGTGCAGTGAGCTGTGCAGGCTGAAAGGAGAGGAGGTTGAGGAAGAGGTACCAGACTCCAGCTCGTCATTCCAAGCAACACTGCAGGTACAGATACTGTTTCAGGTTTTCATTTACAGTAGATCTGACCCACAAGTACTGCAGCAAGGAAAACTCACTTTGAATCCATTTTATAAAGACTCATATAAACATGTAGTGTAGCACAATTAATTAAATATATATAGTATCATGTCAACTACAGTATACTGACAGCAATAGTATATATGATAATAAATATATAATATATAGCATTGTGAAGGGAACAGAGACACTTGCTTACGCCTCTTTTGAGGTGACTTCCTCTCTGTTTAGTGCTGCTTTTCTTCATTTGTGATATCTCCTGGGATGACTGGACATTATCCAAACCTTCACACACCTAAACATTTTGTGTTTTTATGAAATCTCATATTTGGACAAACATTGAACTTTATAACCAAGTTGTCATTGACATGGCTTTGGAAGTATTTTCACCATCTGTTGGTCATTTCCATTTTTTTTTTGGTTTCTTTCATTTGATGAGTCTTGCAGTACAGGTGGTCAGATTGTGTTTGTGCTTGACAGCCTGTATAAGAGGTAATGGCACAGCCTCAAAGCAGCATTTACTGTATGTGTCTCCTGCTCACGGCATCAATGTGTTCACTGTTGAACTCTGATCTGCAGGGGGCGCACTGTGAGGAGCGTCTTCGCATTGAGATAGTCAACCTGAGGGAGCAGCTGGACACTCGGACAGAGGAGAACGGTGTGTGGATTACATTCTTATGTAGGAAGTGTTCCTGTACTGACTGGCTTGACTGTAACACAGTTTTTTTTTTCTTCCTTTTCTCGCTTCCTGCCTGCTCCCACCTGCAACTTCTGTCATCAGATGTTTTAGAAGGTGAGTGAACAACTCATGCTTTATTGTTAGTCTGGTGAGCCAGTTAGTAGGTCTTGTGGTTGGTGTATTACATTCAGATTTAATTCAGATTTATTTCACCTTTTAACCTTTGTATTCCCTTTGGTGAGAACAGTGTCATCTTCACCAATAGAAGATAAGATTCAATGTAATAATCTGGAATTTTCTTTTTAAAATGCATGTCATTGTTTGTCCAAGTAAAAAAAAACAAAAAAAAAACAACGTTGTGCCTTGTGTGTGATTGTGTGTGCAGTGCAGCTGTCCAGTTTGAAGACAGAAACGGAGAGGATCCAGGCTCACAAGGACCAGTTGCAGGCTGAGCTGCTGGCCTGTCGCACTGAACTGGAAGCCCTGCGGGTGGCACTCTCTCATGTACAGAGCACCAACAAGGCTCTCAGCAGTGATAAAGTAAACCCAACTTTCTTCTAGCACCAAACTTAGTGTAACTGTTGATGCTTGTATAGTCAGCTGCTGTCTGTGTGCCTCAGTGAAGTCTAGAGTGATGTTGTAATGTAATGGTGATGAAATTGTTATGTGGTTGGCTGGTTGCATTCTGTGATGAGCTGATGAGCTAAAGAGGCAGGGATCGACAGAAGTGATAATTCTAATATATTTATATATTTTTATTTTTTACAATTATTAATCATATTGTTATGTTAACACACGGCCCAACTCACTTGTTTCCAAATATTTCAATAAATTGAGAATTTTTTTTCTAAAGCTGCTGTTTCCAGAGTCAAGAATTAACCTTCAATTCCAATTATCAATTCAGATTATTTGTCTCAGCTTTAGGGAATTAGATATTAATTAATTGCACATGAACTAATTTCAGATTTCTCACAGTTGCAGAAGAAAAGAAGTATTGTTTTCTGTTTTTGATCATGCGTCCATATTACAATATTTAGACAATGAGAAACCTAAATACATGTACCACATCTGTCATCAAACACACTGGACTTTAATTTGACTTGTTCTCTCTGTCAGGCGGCCCTGCAACAACAGTGTCTGGAGCTGCGAAGTCAAGTGATCAGCCTGCGCTCCCAGGTTGAAACCAGCCAGACTGTACAAAGGGATTTTGTCCAGCTCTCCCAGTCACTGCAGGTATGAACCAGTGGGCAATGGTAGAATTCAGCTTGAATGGTGGGGACGGTTAAAAGCCTGATTTAAAAAAAAAAAAAATGGTGAAAACAATTATCTCTTGCAGAAACTGATACATATACATCAGTGACAAACTGTTAATTTACTCGCTGCTTTCTTACCCTTCAGGTGAAGCTGGAGTTAATTCGGCAGGCTGAGAGTCTGGAACAAGTCAGGGAAATCCTGGAAGAGGGGGTCAGTGAAGCTGGTTCCTCACCTGCAGATGCCTCGTGAGTCTTAGAAACCAAAGAGCATGGACCAAGATGAAATATGCCTAGAGTGACCAATAAGGGCCAGCTAACCATGGCCACATTAAATACAGACGCTGTGGGAAAGTGACCACTGAAATCATCACAGCTGGTGCTGCAAGCACAGTATTGCAACACTGAAGGTATTTCTAAACGGAGACATGATGGTTCTGTTTGTTCCACAGATGGTTTGGTGTCAGTGACTCAAACTGTTGCTTAGTGACCAAAGTGATCTTTGATGAACCATTAATTCTTTGCAGACACTGTTTAACTGTTTAACTGTCTCACAGTCTCCATTTTTCTTACATCTAATAACGATTATTTCTGTACTAAAAAATATGTAAATATAATCTGTTTATAAAACTGACATGACTCCAGCAAAACACTCAACAGTTCAACACTTGATTTTGCACTATATCAGTAACTAATATACAAACTACACAATCAATTTCCCATGCAAACACTGCTTTGTGAAAAGATATGAAGACCTCTACAAGCAATGGATTCATAAATACGAAATATACTCTCTTAAATTAACTGCATTTCAGATGGGATTTTTATTATCTGTATTAGTTTGTTGTCTTTTTCTTTAAGCTTATTATTACTAAGTATTCCTGTTGTTAAAACAAAAATCAATGAAGAAATGTGAATGTGTAACATTTTGCCATTTTTTTGTGTTAATACATACTGAAAACTAAAGATAGACTTTCACCTTTTCTTCTTCAAACTTTGAATTCATAATTAAATACTATGATAAAGTTTCTGAACTGCATGCAGGGTCGCCTAATATGAAGACAGGAAATTTCTATGACTAATATGCATATTAGTTTGTTACACAGCATATTTGATATATTAATTAGATCATTTCTATTGAATCTATTTATAAAAACATGCATGCATCTTGAAACCGTATTCATGTATGGAGTCACAGGCCAAGATCCAGAGTAAACTTCCTATGCAGATAATAGAACTTAGAGTAATTTAGTACAAAATGATACATAACCTACATGAATTGTAATCACAGAGCTGTAGCAACAGTCATAAATCAGTCTACATGAATATATTCACAGTTATTTGGCTGTGTAGTGACTAGTTACAGAAGAGCTTTTGTTTGAGCAGGGCAGAAAACTGATGGTAACAAAGTCAAACACAAAGAAGTTTTTGTCAAACAGATGTTGAGCATTAATTCCTCACAGCTGCAGAATTCTTGTAAACTAATGACTTTGGTTTTCTGTCAGACCAGGTCCACTACGTGTCGTTGACCACATTATAATTCCTGCTGTGCTCTGCTGCGCAACTGAACCTTCATTAATATCATAAGATTATGCTAAACAGCTTCTCACGGCAAATTATACACATCAAAACTGAAGAGAAAACTGAACACTGAGGTCCAAGTTTGACAGTTTCTTTAATACATATCTTTATTCTTTAAGAATAGAATCAACACAGAATAGTTTTAATAACTCTTACCTATATATTAATTTCAGTACATACACAGAAAAAATATTTTGCAGCTTTTTTTTTGGTGTATTTTCAGATGGCTTATGTGTTTTCTGTTGTATTTATGCCACTTGATGATTTGATCACATCAGGTGACTCTTGGTAGGCTGGCTACCAGTGGGAGCACTCAGCCTTTTCTCTCCATCCTCTGTGTCTCTGTGCTCTCTCTGCCTCAGACACTCTCTGTTGCACTTTGCCTTTAGACTTTCCCTGCATGAGAAAACAAAGACTTGTCAGTTATACGGTGATGGCAGTGTGCCCAGGTTAAGTGAATACATTAAGAGCTAATAGATTATTTGTTTAAGGGAATTGGACATTAAGGTCTTGGGAAACATGCAGATTTGCTTTGTTGGCTTGAGGTAGATGAGAAAACTGATGTTAACTTGGCTCAGTGCAACCAAACAGCTAGCCTGTCTCTGTCCAAAGGAAGCAAAATCCACCTACCAGCAAATCTAAAACTTGTTAATTAACAGATTAGAGCCTCTGCTGGTTGCCTGGCGACTGCAAGAAATCATGGTCGTATTAAGGAGAGGAAAGGTGACACATCTGGCAGACACAAATTTATTTCCTCACGTTTAGCCACTAGCTACAGTCATTTGGCAGTGTGGTTGATTGTGAAGTGTTGATTCCTGAGGAATTTTTCGTTCTTGTTTCTCATTTCCTTTCTTTTACTACCTAAATAAACAAGATGCAGTGTCCTTAGTGAGCTCTAGAGGTGATGGAAGGCAGATTTTGTTACCTTTGGACAGAGCCAGGCTAGCAGTTTCCCCCTGATTCCAGTCTTTATGCTAAGCTAAGCTAACCGGCTGCTGGCTCGAGCTTTGTATGCACTGTATTGATCAGAGAGTGGTATCAATTGTCTCATCTAAGAATAAGCAAGAAAGCAATTTAGAGCATTCCCCAAAATGTATCGTGCTCATTTTTGTGTCACACAATGGGAAAACTTTTCCTCACTTGGTGACAATAACAAGTTGAAAAAGTTTTTATGCCAAAATAGATTATTTATTATCTTCTTCCAGAGGATCCACAAACTACCCTATGCAAAAAGCTAAAGTAGCATATTCCAATGGTAAATGCCAACTATGCAACACTACATATGATACTGTGATACCAATTATTAGATTTCTACTGGCAGTTCATGACAGATTCACAGCCATCAACACGATCACAGCTACATTCACAGTGCAAGTGATTAGTTCAGAAAGATTACCAAGATCACCAACAAGTACACACGCTTAACAGACAATGTTTCTTTGACAGAGTCACTTAAACATATATAATACCCAGCATGAAACTTATAGAACGTGCACATGCAGAGTGCTTAAACCTTTAGCTTGAGTCAGGGGAATACCTTGTTTTGTTACAGGGGTATGTAGGAGGGGGAAACAAGTTTAGGCTGGATTGTCAGAAGGGGAACGGTGAAAAAGAGCATCCAAGGAGAGGAGCATTAAATGAATGGGAAACACAATTTAGAGGATAGAAAATTGAAACAGTGTAGAAAAAGAAGAGTGTGGGGAGAGAGGTTAACAGTTAAAATACATTAAAAGACATTTAATTGGGAGGTAAATTATTCCATAACAATCAATCAATCAATTAATCAATCAATCAATCAATCATGTTTTCTTTGAAAATTATTGAAAAGGAGAAAAAAAGTTTAGGCTGAAATGTTCAAGAAGGAGGATAAAACCATGTATTTTTAAAATGTGTACATATTTTTTAAGTACCTCTATATCTAGCATAAGCAACTGGCAACTTCTAAACACCTGAATGAACTGAAAGCTCACCTAAACTATTCCCAATTACTGTAGCTACACACAGTGGCTGCATTTTATTTCATTCTTTGTTTAGATTAACTTGTTAACTGTGATTATGATTGGTAGGACATAAATAGTAATCTCAGGCACAGTAACGGTAGGCTCAGGTGCACATCATCACATCCTAGAAAATTGGTATGAATTCATCCATATCCCTCTTCTCATAGTACAAGAGCATCACCAACCTGATGTAATTATGTCTGTGTGGAGTTTCAAATAATTTTTTTACACATTATGGAGATCGTACTAGGCATTCAAACAGGGCGCATGTTCAGCTTACCCTCCAGATATGTGCGAGCCACAAACTTGAGAAGCTCATCGATGAGGATGACTGGGAAGGAGAGCTTCAGCACCATCAACCACTTCTCCACATTCAAGTGAGTGAGCTTGAAGATCATCTGTGGACGAGAGCAGTGCTGTGTTAAAACTGCCAGATCAATATCAGCCAGAAATCACATCATGGTGAAGGGACATGGAAAATTAAATGAATTTAAGAAGCAATAAATGCACATAATAAATCCACAGTAATGATGGAAGGTGACTCATATTAGCTTATTGCTAATATTAACAATATTGGCACATATGATGGCTAAACAGTAATTTCATTGATTGGAGTGCAGAAACTTCATGTTTGGGGTAATTTGATACTGTTCTTACTATTTTTACACTTTTTGTCCTCCAGCTGTGCTTTCAGCTGTATAATGACATAATGACCTTCACTTAACCCTGATCCTCACTGTTTCACTGCTAATGTCTTGATATTTGGACTTAACTGGAACTTAATGACTCGGAACTAGTTGTACTCGGCAACTAAGAAACAAAGTTATATTAAACAGGGCACCTGGGGACTTGTGTCAAAATATTAAGAAACATCTAAAACAATGAACCATTTGAGAAGTTCACAAAGCTGAGCAGCTGGATTGATTGGGTGCCAACCTGAGCGCCACCGCTGTTAGTGATTTGGGCAACAGAGCGGTGTGTCATCTGTAAGTATTTAAGCAATGACAGTGTGAGAGAGAACATGGAGGTTGGCAGAGGCGGTGTGTGTGTGTGTGAGGGAAGAGTGGAGGGGAGATGGATGTAGTGCAGGAGGCCAGACTCACGGGCAGTGGGTCGACGTAGATGATCATGAAGTGAAGGGACATGGAGAGGCTCATGGCGCCCACCAGCCAGCCGTTGCTCCAGGGGGGCATGCGCACCAGGGACTGGTTCTCAGACAAGCTGGGGGGAGGTGGGGTTGGACGGGGAGGCGGAGGGGTACGTTAATGCATGTGTGTCGAGGTGAATGCATGAAAATATACACGTGAAGAATAAGAATAAACTGGAAATATGGCAAATGCTGAAATACACCATCCTGGACTAGGCTTCTAAAAACATCTCAGCACAGTGGAAACTGTTACAGTGGGTGTGTTTGCGTACTCCTCCGCACAGCCATGTGTTTTCAACATGTCATACATTCATATCATAATAACAGCTGCAACTTCCATGAGTGCATGTACTATATGTACTACAAGAAAAGGTAAAAACCACAGTGTAAAACTGCTCAAGAAAAGTCCAGTGTTTGTCCACTAGTAACCAGAGTTGACAAATACATTCAGAGGAGTAAAAGCTGCTATATGACCCTCTGGATTGTAGTAGAATAGCAGTATAAAGTAGCATCAAATCGAAATACTCAAGTAAAAGTACTTCAAATTTGTACTTGAGTACAGTACAGTACCTGTTCAGAGCGTTGCACATCTCGATGGTGACTAGCACAGACAGAGCCATGGTCATTGGAGGAGAAGACTCGAACACCTCGCAGTTAACCCCGGCAAAGTCCTCATTCTCCTCGCTGCACTGCATGAAGTGTGACTGATGGGAGAGACAGAAACAGGCACAGTCTATCAGATGCTTAGAACCATCTTTGAAGTGTGTTTGTATTGATGTGCTCTAGTTTTATATGATTAGTTTTCTGAGTTACAGCAGTTTACAGTTTGACAGCGTCCCACAGATAATTATTTTTCACAGCAGAAGTTCACAGACAACCGTGTTAAATACGAACCAGTTGGTGGAAGGTGACCATCGGGCCATCGTCACTGTACACGAACCACCAGGCGGCTGCTGCAACAGTGGCAGCGCCAACATAACCTGAAAGACATATGACCGTGTTTAATCTCAAACTCTTGACCAAAATGCGGATGGTACAGTTATAATGGCAGCCAAAGAGCTTCTGATGATGTTGTCAAAGAAATCAAATGTTTATTTGATGCATAATACCATAATAGAGGTAGGTGTGTTACCATGGCAATGACATAATTTGCAAAAGTCAATTGAGGCAGACAGAGGATGAGGGATTTATCTGCAGTATCAGTAATAATCAAATCAACGTGAAGTATATAATTTCATGTCCATGTTCCTGCCCTCAAATGCTTCGCTGGATGAGACCAAGTTAAAGAGAGAGAGAGAAAACACTGTACCTCCAATGGCCAGATATCTAAAGAAGAGCCAGCCAGAGATGAGGGGCTCCTTGGGGGAGCGGGGGGCTTTGCCCATGATGTCCAGGTCAGGGGGGTTGAAGCCCAGCGCAGTGGCGGGCAGACCGTCAGTCACAAGGTTAACCCACAGCAGCTGGACGGGGATGAGAGCCTCGGGCAGACCCAGGGCAGCAGTCAGGAAGATACTGAAAAACAGACAGATTTTTTTGTATTAGCTTTGACACGGTTCCTCTTTTTGTCTTATGCAAAGACTGGAACTTTTTCTTGTAGTTGTGCCAAAATGTCACATACAAGAGTCACAATATCCCATACACACATACATATCCTGTACTCACCAGACGACCTCGCCTACGTTGGAGGAGATGAGGTAGCGGATGAACTGCTTCATGTTGTTGTAAATGGCTCTGCCCTCCTCAACAGCAGACACAATGGAAGAGAAGTTGTCGTCAGCCAGGACCATCTCAGAGGCAGACTTGGCAACGGCAGTGCCAGAGCCCATGGCGATGCCAATCTCCGCCTTCTTCAAGGCAGGGGCATCGTTCACTCCATCACCGGTCTTAGTGCAGGATGGAGGAGACGAATGATGTATTAGCCTGAGACAAGTTATGATATTTGCCTTTTAAACACAACAAAAGCTGTGTTCTCCTCACCATGGCAGTAATCTCATCAAAGCCTTGCAGGAACTCAACGATCTTCGACTTGTGGGACGGTTCCACTCGGGCAAAGCAGCAAGCCTTTCGCACGGCCTTCTTCTGATCATATGGAGGGAGGTCATCAAACTCACGACCAGTGAAGGCCTTACCAGTGACATCCTCATCCTCGCTGAAGATGCCGATACGACGGCAGATGGCCACAGCGGTGCCCTTGTTATCACCTACGGGGCAGATAGAAATTAAGATTTAGTTTTACCTGTTATGGTTTACATTTATTTGGTATACAGTGAGATTAAAATACAGAATGACACGTATACTGACCAGTGATCATGATGACACGGATGCCAGCAGCCCTGCACAGCTCGATGGAGCTCATAACTTCCTTACGAGGAGGGTCGAGCATGCCGACACAGCCCACAAAGGTCAAGTCAGTCTGGATATGATAAGAGAGCAAAAAGTTTAGTGTCCTGTGGAGACACTCACAGCTAAGAAAACAAACTACTGCACCTACTTTTGTTATTTTTTGAAACTGTAAATACAACATTGTTTTAGTGATTAACTGCCACCAGGGAGATTCTCTGTGGTGCCTTTCATTTCTGTCTTTGTGTTTTCATTATCTGTCCTCCGTCACCCACCTCATAGTCTGCAAACTTGGTTGAGTCCTCCAGGTTCATCTCCTCCTTCCTCAGAGGTGTGTCACGGGTGGCCAGAGCCAAACAGCGGAGGGTGTCGCGGCCTGTGCCCCACTCCTTGATGACTGACATGATGTTGTCTTTGACCGGGCCAGTCAGGGGTACACGGGTGGTGCCCACGCGGACGTACGCGCAGCGCTCGATGACACCCTCTGGAGCACCCTGATGACACAGTAATGACAACCGTTTGTTGAACAGATATTTGGCCTTATTTCTTGTGATTCTTTTTTATTATAATGCCACAATATTTCTTATATAGTTCCTAAATTTGGAGAGTTTTTGGAGATGCCCTTTTGTTTATGTGTCATGCACTCACTTTGACAAACATCTTGTTTCCCACAGGGGCTTTGGCAGACTTGGCAGGTGAACAGTAGACTGACATGGACTTCCTGTCTCTGGAGAACTCCAGGGTGAACTCCTTCTTCATCAGCTGCTTGATCACCTGCCAGAAAGTGAAAGAAAAGGAAGTGAACTGGATGAAAAGGATCAAAAATCAAGGTTGAGTCTGGTATGTCCTCAACAATGTGCTGAAACATGTGACGTCTTTTTACATTCAACAGCTCTTTTGATCCATTGTTCAGATAAAATATTGATAACAGCCACTTTCTTGAATCTATGTGGCCACTAAAATGAATTTAGAATAGCAAAAGCTTTTATTTTGGAGACACATGAACTTGTTCTCTGTGTTAGTGAGATGTCTTTGTATAGGACAACACATTGCATGTGGGATCTTTTGCAGACTTACAGTGCAGCACGTATTTGCCCTCTCCACCTTGGACAGACCACGCACTTCAGTGTTGAACACGTTCATCTTCTCCACCAAACAGCACAGGGCTGTCTCAGTGGCCTCACCCACTTTCTCATAAATACCCTTGGACTGCACCATGGGCCGAGAGAGAGAGAAAGAAAGTGAGTATATTTTAGTCTCATCTGTCTTTTACATGTAAACATACAAAATATCCTCTGCAGACCTCATTGTAGTCCAGAGAAGAGTCATTGCACAGAGCACAGATGGTAGCAAGCTCCACCAGTCCGTCATACTGTCCGCACTTCACAGACAAGTTATTCTTTGTGCTAATAGAAAATGACAAAAATATGTAGTCAAGATATTGTTCTGCAAGAATGGGTTACTGTTTTATGTGTGTGTCTTTTTAACATGGACTCTTTACTCTTTGTCACTTACACTTCTCCCTCAGGGGTGTACTTTGAGCCAGAGATGTCGAACTGGCCGAGGGAAACATTGTCGCCCTCCACTTTATCGATGATGAACATCTGCATGAAAACGTGGGGAAAAACACAGTCTCTGTATTAGATCTGCTCTCCTTTTCAGAGACCTCACACCTGTGAACATGAACCCACCTTAGTTACACACATCTGGTTGGTGGTGAGGGTGCCAGTCTTGTCGGAGCAGATGACTGAGGTGCAGCCCAGGGTCTCCACAGAGGGCAGGCTTCTGACGATGGCGTTCTTCTTGGCCATGCGGCGCGTTCCCAGAGCCAGGCAGGTGGTGATGACAGCTGGCAGGCCTGATGGACAGATGGTTGAAGCGCACGGGGAAAAGAGAGGTACACAGTGAAGATGACATGAGGTGAAAGGTAAGATGGGTTGGAAGATGGACAAAAACATTAAGGGGGTCTTCTCAATCCAAAAAAAACAGGTGATAAAGAATGATCTGACATGTCTGCTCAAGACCACCTGGACTTTAGGGGCTCCGCCACTTGGCGAGCTGACAGTAGTGGTGGTCCCAACACAGTCCTTAACACATTAGTTGGAGCACACCCAAACTGCAGTGTTCTCCAGAGGTATTCATGTGGGGAGGGGGCTTCTGCAAGCCACTCAGTCCCTCTGCAGCCGGTGTCAGACCTGGGTTCAGATTCTTGGCAAAAATCAACGCTGACAATGATGTGAGGAAGGTCTGGAGAGCGTCCAGCTTAGTGACATTATGGTGGCATCGGTGTTTGCAGATGATGTTGTCCTTTTGGCATCATTAGACTGTGGTCTCTGAGGTGTGTTGGCACAGTTTGTAGCTGACTGTAGTGTGACGGGGTGGAGTGAGAGCACCTCCAAATCGGAGACGACTATTCACTGAGAACAAGGTAACATTTGGTCTTTAAATGTCTTAAAAATCACTGAATTCAATTCCCTCTCTAAAAGGCCTAAAAAAGTATAAGTAAGTAAATAAAATTTCTTTCTTGCCATATATATACAGGTGTGTATATATATATATATATAATAGACATTATTTCCAAAGACATTTTTTATATATATATTTTTCTGGTTTGTGGTTGTAGTTTTTGAGGAGACGTTATGCTGATATAAACTACATAAAGCAACAAAGTAATGAATGAGCATCAAACTGGAAATCAACTTGACAAATTGTATTATATCCACGATATCACGTTATTAAACTGTGTACCAGTGTTAATATTGTAAAGATCAATCTTAAGCCACAGGCCCTCATTTAATTTCTAATGGACTGGGGGCTGCAGCTTCATATAGACGAGCTACACAACATGAATCTTAGATATGATAATCTTCTTGGGCAAGCAAATGGAAGTTAATCCCAGTGGTTTACCTTCAGGAATGGCAGCCACAGCCAGAGCCACAGCAATCTTGAAATAGTAGATAGCACCGCGAATCCAGGAGCCTCCATGGACGGGGTCATTGAAATGGCCAATGTTGATTATCCAGACGGCCACACAGATGAGGGAGATGACCTGGAGGACAGGCAGTCAGAGGGATGTGTTAGATATTAGCCGGAGTTTTGTTTCATGTACAAATTTTAGGTCATTTAGGTCTTGAACATGTTTACAATATGAATACATAAATAAAAACTGCTCTGTCTCACCCACCTTAGAGAGCTGCTCTCCAAACTCATCCAGTTTCTGCTGCAGAGGGGTCCTCTCCTGCTCAGTGGCAGCCATCTGGTCACGAATCTTACCGATCTCAGTGGTGACGCCAGTTGCTACAGCTATACCGGTGGCTTTTCCAGCAGCGATATTGGTGCCCTGAACAGAGATTAAGAGCGTGAGAAACTCATCAGAAAGTCAGTTAGTCTGAAACATCTCAGCATCTTCAACAATTATGGTTCCAGGAGGATGTGTCCTGATGATTTTAGTGATCCTCTGACTTTCATGAGGTCTGCATTTGTGGTTTTGGGTGAAATTTTACAACAACTAGGGCCGGATGGATTGAAATTTGTTTAACATCCAGGATAGACTGTAATAAATTTGGTGAGCCTCTGGCTTTTCATCATCAAGCCAAAATTTCAGTTTGCCCACTACTTAAGAAAAGTTTGCATGGTAACACACTAAACTAAGGTGGTGCACATCGTGAACAATACATCTGCTAAATATCAGCTTTGCCATTGTGTGTGTCTTAGCCTGCAGATGTTAGCATTTAGACGGTAGTGCTTTGGCTACAGCCTCATTAACCTCGCAGAGCTGGCAGCGTGTCTGTAGATTCTTAGTCTTGTTATTGGTTAGTATTTTACACAACACTCAGGTGGAGCATGTGTAATTGTACTTATTTCAGTCAGGGGCTCAATGTTTTGAGAAACAGGTATACAGGTACAGTATGTGAAGCTTATGAACCGAAGTGTAGCAGTGTATCTCCCTGAGGATCATTTTTTGTCCCTGATAGAACTGGGTAGTTTTATCAGTGTGAGTCACATGCTTAATTTAATAGTGATTTTAGAAGAAGAATGCATTAATCATTTATTTCCTCTGTAATAAGTCAATGGCAGTAACACACTGTTGGAGCAAAAAGATAAAACATATAAAGGTGTATCTTCAATTTATAATAGTTAGAAAACTGTCATTGTTGACTTTGTGTTATTGCTCAGAGAGTCAGTTGGTTACAGGTGTGTATTTTACAGCAGGTGTTCAGTATTTTTAGACAGCACAGAGCAATGATGATGATGAAACATCTGGATTATCAGTTAATAGTCAGATTTGATCAGATTAAACCCACTGAGGTGTCATTTTCCATCCACTACACTTATGCAAATATTAGGAGTTGGGAGCAAAAGATAAACAGCTGGTGGTGCTTATTCTCTGGTCTGGTGCCATTAAAGAAGGAGGCACAATGACATGATGTCATAAAGAGACTCCCTCTCAAACATTAGATGAACAAAAACAACATGAAAAACATTTGTGAAATATGGTCATATATATATATATATATATATTTTGTATGTTACACCTGAGCTTGCCCTGTTATAACAAGTACAAATGTCTGCTGTGAAAAAAGGTGTATTTGGTGGTAGGAAGGAGGGACAGTTGTGGGGTTTAGGAGAGCAAGTGGAGTTTTGTCAGGTCTGATGGAAACATAGAGGTGGAAAAGAGAGACTCACAGAGAACAGCATGTTCTTTTTGTCCTGGTTGACAGCTCGGGGGTCTGGGACAGCATCAGTGTGCTTGATCACACTGACGGACTCACCTATAGGAGACACAAGTGTTGGGTGGGGTGATCAAGGAACAAAGCAGATACCAAAATACATGGAAATACATCATTTTGTGGCTGCCCCATTTGTCATGCAACACCTACCAGTGAGAATGGACTGGTCCACACGCAGTGTTGTAGATTTGATGGAGATGATCCTGATGTCGGCTGGCACTTTGTCACCAACTAGATGCACACACACACACACAAACACACACAGAGAAATACACAAAAAAAAGTTACCTCATCAACAATTGGATTTGATTTAACCTTTCTACTTTAAGCAGTTTTTGCCTTTTTTGCAGGATTATAGTACAAACTGCTTCATATCAATCTGACTGCAGCATTACAGCAGGATGGAGGTATGGGGGAGGGTATGGAGGGGTTGGGGGGGGGGGGGGGTAGAGTTGATTGACTGGTTTTAGCACTCTGGATGGATGGTGTTGTTGTTGAAAGCTGATACCACAGTCAGAGTCAGAGAGAGAGGGAGACCTTGGGGAGATCATGAAATGAAAAGAACAGGTGTACAACAAACAGAGGGAGAGGGTGAGACAGAGGAGCGAGTCGATATTAAATGTATTTATACTCAAGCTTGTTTTTTTTTTCTTCCCACAGAAAGTTCCTTCAGTTCCCCTCCACCCCCTTTTCTCTGTTACTGCCTTAAAAGGGCCCGTGTTCAATCTCAAGGACATCAGTACCCATGTATTTGCGCACACACACACACACACACACACACACTTGCATGTGACTCGACTTAAAGCGGACAGTGATTCAGTAGCTATAGGACGCTGAGGCACTTGACGTTAAATGTGGGGTCAAACAAAGATCTGGCTGAATGAACAACTGTATTGTTTGCTCGAGCATGGGGCAAAGGTCATCAGTGATCATTCCTTCCCTTCACACTAGCAGTCAGACGTCATTACTGTAAAACACGTGCCGTCTAGATCCAAGGTTAAGAAGTCCTGGATAAGCCACAGAGACGAGCTTTGGCCTGATTATAACTATGTGATACATGGTTAAAGTAACTTCTAAATATATATGTAGTAGCCTGTCTACTATCACTATTATTTATGATTGGACTGTCACAATAAGAACTTTATTGCTTTGTTGCCAATGTAGTTTTCCAGTGCTAAAGACTTTATCATTAATTGGTACAAGTATTACAAATATAATATACTTGAATTTAAATTTACCATTGCAGGTGGCTGTGTCTTTTGCTGACTGACTGGAGACAGAATGCACACAGACCCACGGATCCTTTTTATTATTTGTGTTTAGGCACGTTGAATGCATGCTCATACCTTTTCCATGCTAAATTTGCATTTTAAAATTGCACATTCAACAGAATTTGCACACAAGTATGAAGAACTGGATGATGCTTTCTCCTCTCATATTATTACACCACTCGTGAAGAGTCCAGGCTACACAGACATGAGCATGCAACAACATCAACAGTCCTACCTTTTGTTTCACTAAGTTTGTTTTTCCTGTGCATTTCCTCCTTTTAAATTGCGATCATGTTCTTAACTGTGAGCTGGGACTATGTTGACTACAACAGTGTCAGTGGTTTATAGATTCTGAATAGACTTTCTGAATAACTGCAAACCCTCCATTATTGGGAATCTTACCGGAAACCTCCACCACATCACCGGGAACAATCTCCCTGGCCTTGATTCTCTGCACACTCTTCCTGTCCGACCGGTAAACTTTCCCCATCTCAGGCTCATACTCCTTCAGAGCCTCAATAGCGCTCTCTGCGTTGCGCTCCTGTTTTGCGAAAACACACACAAAACATGGAACAGAAAAACATAAATGCTACAAACATCAGGAAGAGCAGCAGAGGAGGGATCGCTCCTCGAGGATGGACAGACATGAGGGTGTTTTAAACAGATGTTGAGACATTACAATATAAGTGAAAGGAAAATATCACATTTAATGTTAATTATTTCTTACATATGGTAAGTAAAGGAGTCAAACACCTGAAAAGCGACTTGTGTAATTGTGCAAGTTAAACTATTGACCTTTACAATATTCCTGCAATACCTTTGCAATGCATTTTTCTCAACACTATCCATGGTGTTGATTTAACTGGGAAAAATGACTTGAGTTGGTAATGTTATTGTTTTGTCAGATTGTTGACGATGATAAATTCTTGAGTTATGGTCAAATATGTGTTTTGTCACAGTGAGCTTGACCTTTGACCTTTGATGGCCGAAATCTAATCAATTTATCTTTGTTCTAAATTTGAAGAAATTCCCTCAAGGCGTTTCTGAGATATCGTGTTCCCCAGAATGGGATAAAAGTAATAACATCTGCTACAGTCTGAAACATTTGTGCACTGTTTTGTGCAGAGAAAGAGAGAGAGATAATTGAGGCTTTTCTTTTATTAATTTATCTACTATTTAGTTTTTAAGCCTATAAATATTCATGATCATATCAGCAAAAATCACAGCTGAAGTTTGGAGAAAAATCCTAAAATAACCTTTTTTTTGAGTTTAAGACACAAACATTTAGCTAATCTGTTTCTGGTGGTTACCACATCATATATAGTATATATGTATACAGTATATACCAATTAGTTTCTATGGTGACAGGTGTGGTTAACCATGCAGCCAAAGATGGTGAGAAATATGTCAAAATGTCCAAAAAGTAAAACAAATCTCAAAGAATAGTAAAAAAAAGGGCAAATAGATAGAAATAAAAACAGATGAATTGTTTACCACATGTGCAGTGAACACCACATGTGTCTGCACTGAGAGATGTCCATCTGACTGAGCAGCCTGAAGCTGAACAACAGGTTGATCAGAGAATAATGTTCAGTTCAGTCTGTGATTTCTTGCGTGGCCGCCCTCGACCGCCTCAAAGTGTAAAGCCCAACTTACGCCAGCCGCCCCCTCCCTCTCTCCATTCTCCCCCCATACCCCCCCATGTGTGAATCCTTGTGCATAGTTTCCAAATGACTGCCACAGGGTTGATATGAACCCCCCCGCCTCGCACACAGACACCACACACACACACACTCCAGGCCTGTGGTAACCTGATCGTCCCTCTGTATTTTTACTGTGGATTGCACAGTGTGGATTGTTACGAAGCAGACTGCAGTTTGAGCCTTCAAGGCAGCACGGGTCCCAGTCTGCCCCCTCTGCCCCTCCTCCCCCTCCCCTCTCCCCTCCACTCAGCCCGTCGGCTTAACCTTTCACCTTTTCACCTCCTGCTGATGTCATGCCTCTCATTCTGGCTTCCCTTGAACTTTGAGCCTTCAGCCGCTGCGCTGGAAGGAGTGTGTGCTCACAGTAAAGGACACGGGCTGTGAACAGGCCGCCGTCGTGCGTGATTTATTGTGTGTGACTGTTGCTAAGTATGAGAGTCTATTTAGGTGTGTGTAAAAGACAGCATTCAAGGGCCAGGTATGTGTCCTTGTGGTTGCAATTGTTCCTTTGTGCACGTGTGTGTGTGTGTGTGTGTGTGTGTGTGTGTGTGTGTGTGTGTGTGTGCGCTCCCAGACCTGCCACACTCCAACGACAGCATTTGCGATAAGGATGAGGAGGATGACGAAGGGCTCAACGAAGGCAGTGACTGTCTCCTCACCTTCCTCAAACCAAGCCAGAACCTGAGAGAGAGAGACAGACAGACAGACAGACAGACAGACAGACAGACAGACAGACAGACAGACAGACAGACAGACAATACATATTAGAGTGCAGATTTGAATGAAAATGTCACTTCATGTTTTTTTGTTTGTGATCTCTGTGAACTGTGATGACAGAAAGCCACTGTGATCACAGAAGTTTTCACTTATAAAATACCAGACTTGATCTCCTCATATTTAGCACTAATATTCTCTTATATTAAAAAACAAAACCTGTAAACAATTGGGGACAACATAAAGACTGAAACTAACATTACATACATATATATGGGGATCCAAAAGTCTGAGACCACTTTCCCATTTTTGAACCCACTGTACATATATAATTACAAATATTCAATGGTTATATATATCTATGAATATTTGTGGTGTATTAGTGATATAGTAGATCTACAATGATATAAAAGCAAATCCTCACATTTGAAAGGCACAAATCAGTGAATGCTCAGCATTTTTACTTGAAACAATAAATCAATTATGAAAATGTTTAGAGGTTAAATTTTTGTCGATTGACTGATTGATTCAGCACCAAATTAATTGTTTCAACACAAATGTTTGTATTTATTTTATCTTACTTATTATGTTTAGGATTTACATGTAGGTGGTATGGTCCCAGACAACCATTGTGATCTCTCAAGTCTTCACTTACGAATCCCAAACATTAACTTTTAAACTCAGATTTTTCCTTTAATTACCACTTAGAAAAAAAAGACTTACACACTTCTGTATAATGTATACGTGCATGTTTCCAACACTTATTTGAGCTATATGATCTACAGCTGAAACAATTAGTCAACAATGGCGTTTTTCAGTATTTTCTGACAGACTATCAAAAAATAAAAATCAGCTAAAAAGTCCTTAGTTGTAGCCCTAACATGATGTCTACACTGAGTAAATACTCAAACCCAGGAACATCACGTGTTTTATAAAATGGTTTTATTATTTTATCAAACTGAAATATTGTAGATACTTTATGCTTCTTTTTATATATATTTTCCCAATATTCATCTTACATATTTACACTAGAGTCTGGTAGCATTGAAGAGATTAATTATAATGATACTGACTGTTTGGTGTTGAAATATTGCATGCTTATACTGCAGGTCTAGCCTAATACTCTACTTGGTATGAGTGTCTTTAATTTTGTGGTGTACTTGATGCTCTGGGTGACAGTATTATCTCCTACTGCCTGCCGCCATTGAACATAAAACAGTCACAGGGAGCTATTTATGAGTTATGAGCCATTACTGGATCAAATGACATATCACTTTGTGCCTTTTGTATCTTATGTTATCCTATGTGTGAAGCGTCTCCTCTACATGTGACTCTATAGTCAAACACGTGTGCGCCCCTGTGAGTGCGAGTCCCATGTCACTATCACAGGTCTGTTTCGGAAAGGCTTTGTGTTGACATTGACACAGATTAGTTGCAGGCCAGCGGAGCACAGAGCTAAGCGGAGAGAGAAGACAAGAGTCCTCCCATCCTCCTCTAGTAGCATTTAGCTTTTTGCTCAGCATCATAATGTTCTGTGTTTTTCATTTCCCTGCGTTTCACCTCACATCTTTTCTCACCCTTATCCCAAAATAGGCTCTGTAGCTCACTCTCTCCGCTCTGTCTTCACCCTGCCTCTCTTCAAAGACACAATCGATCTCCAGAATGAGAGTTGGAGCCTGTCAGCACGTTGCAGTGGTAGGACATTCCTGTGTATATGAATAGGATGACCATGTATTTGCAGTATTTAGTGTTCTCTCTTTTAGAAACCATATACGACTCTGAATCTATTGCTCTCGTTTGTCATTGTAACAAACAATGCCATTGTGCAACCCAATCCCTGACTCCCCCCTCACCCTCCTCTCTGTCTCTCACTCTCTCCTGCTGCTGCAAGCCATCCCTCGTTCCTTCCATCACTGACCTTTGTCCAAGGATACAGTTTCTCGTCCTGGCTTGAGACTTTCTTAAAATAAAGCCCCGGCCGTGCACATATGCACAGACACTGACACAGACCTGTCACACACACACACACACACAGAGCCGTCAGGCCTTCTAAGGCCATACTGACAGCTGTACAGGGAGGCCAGAGGGCAGAGATCGAGGATTAAGACAATGTGTCCAGCCTACTCTCATCCACAAAACTGTTTTGGAGAGAGAGCGACTTGGACGGGGAGGGGAGGAGGGAGAGAGGGATTCCTTGTGTAAATGAGAGTCAGGACATGAGTCCAAATGTAATTTAATAACCCAGTCATGTACATGCTGTGTTTGTCGGCCTGAGTGTGTGGGTAATCACAATGAAAACATGTGACGGGTTACAGGAGACGCAGCTCATCGAGGAAGACTTCAGCACATTCATTGTTAGTTCACCGTCCCTTAACGTTTGCCTGTGTAATGGCCAATCTTGTTCTTCTTAATCCTATTACCTTATCAGATTTGTTTCATCCCTGTTTCTGAGGTACATCATTAACATCAAGACACATTTCAGATACATGCCCTCATTTGCAACAACTTGCAGCTAATATACCACCATGTTGCCCCTCAAACAGCTCCTCCAGGACCGCTGCTCCTTTGATTAAGACTAAGCCAGACATTAATCTTGATATAACCTAAGCCTAAACACAAACATTTGATTGGTGGAGCTTGTTCTGCTTGGGGGCAAGGGAGGGCTTTATCTGTTGATACCACCTTCTGGGTGGTTAGCTTCAACATGCTAAATGCAGGGTTTTGGTGAGTGTAAATAGTGCTGAGTCAATCACATGTTTCGTGTGATGTATAATGCAAGTGTACGTGCAAAGAGTAATAATTTACTTTTTCTCTTTGCTCTTTTTTCTTCACTAAGCATTTCATAGTGCTCATAGTTCAAATTTCCCACAAATGTATTTTAGGTAAATGTGAATGGGCTACAGCTGCACCTTTAATCATTATGGAACAAATATCTAATCTTTCTTCTCTCCTTATAAATCTTACAAAGACACAATATCATGGACAGTGAGAAGTGAAAAGACTCACGAAAGAGATGCAGGCGGCCAGCAGTAGGATTCTGACCAACAGGTCCTCAAACTGTTCCGCCACCAACTCCCAGATACTCTTTCCTGGTAAACAGAAAATACGTACAATCACATACAGTATCCATGAGTGTATCAGCGTATATGTAGTTCAGTGTTGTATAAATGTATGTATTTATATATTTACCTGGTAAATGTTAATTTAGTCTCTGTTTTTCTGAGTTTGCATGCAAGACTGCTGAACCAAGAGTAGGAAAAGCATTGAACGTAATATTTGAAAAGAAGTGATTCATTTATAATCATTAATTTACAATAGCTTATATTTTAGCATCTGCCCCCTAAATGAGCTGTATGATGGACAAACTCAGCACTTGTTTCTGTGTTTCCTTGTTTGTCTTTTGGTCAGATTAACGTAGCTGACTGCTCGCAGTAAAACCACAGGTGCAGATACAGACAGGTCTAATGTGCTAGTTTTGGGTTTGAGTGAAATCAGCTGATTTCTTGAGCCGTGTGAGGTGTAAACAATATTAGTTATTTAGGTCACAATATAACTATACATATAAAACTATCATCAAGCCTGCAGCACGCTGTGAACAGAGCAAGGAGCCAGCGACAGGTGTCTAACAAAGGACTGTGTGACTTGTCATCACAGGAAGTGAGGGGAGCAGGTGTGTGCGCGTGGCGCAAAGTTAAGAGATGCGCTCTGATCAACAGCACATGTGAGTCAAACATGAATAACTGAAAAGTGAGTGTTTAAAGTGGACTCACCCTCCTCTGCTGGCAGCTCTGTGGGTGAAGAGAGACAAAGAATATTAATAAAGCACGCCATCTTTACGTTTTTAATGTTTGCAGCATTAAGTGTTGATGAAAGCAACACCGTTTTGATGCTTAAACAACTGAGGAATCAAAATGCACAATAAACACCATATTACAGTGTCAACATCTGTCTCTTCATAAATATACTGGTTGTTGTTTTGTTCTGGTGATGGCAATTTCTATCAATCTGTTCTTCAACATCCATCCCTGAACTGAGTGTAAATTAATGGTATATAAGCAGCAGCTGGTTTGTTCAGGCCTTGCTGTCCTGCTGCCAGGTTGTGACACAGATATAGTGGCTTCCCTAACTGACCTTTACAGTGACCCTTAATTACTGTGTTATTATAGTTTGCTGTTACTCTGTCAACATCCGTTTGCTAGCTGAGATTCTGCACACCAAATACAGTCACTGCACCCTGACTGAGTGTGCGATATGCATTGTTCGTTTTACTGAGGGTGAGATTCTCCGGTGAAACAAGTTTTTACTACAAATGGACCTTTTTTTCACAGCAGACATTTTGACTCGTCTCAGCAGGAAACGCACAGTTCCATTTAAGAGTCCCAGTGCGAGGCGCATAGGTCACCGGGACGCTTAAATAAAACAGAGGGATCTTTAATGCTTTCCCTGCTATGACAAGTTAAAGTGTCTGTTGTAAAAACAGCCTGTAGGATGCAGATGTTCTCAACTCAAAGTCCATTTACAAGCTTTTTCTGGAGCTCTCAGTTGCATTTTAAAACTTTCATTTCACTGTGAGATGTAGTCGGAAAGAACAATTGAGTGGACCGCCGGTGTGATAAGTGGATTCACTCAGTTTCAAAATAAAAACATAAAGGATGTTTAATCTGAACTGAAGCCAGTAGTGATGGTCAGAAACCTGACACTCTGATGCACCTGCTGCACAAACATCACCCCCCCTTTGTGTCATTCAGATAGTTTCCCTTAATTAGACCGTCATCACAAAGTCACACACTGCACCAGTTCATCTCTCAGTCTTCAACAGTCCCACTTCTCTTCCTCCTTACATCTCCTCTTTCTTCTTCTCTCACTGTCTGTTTCTGCCATTTTATCTTAAACCAAACCTCTCATATACCTAGTGTTTCTGCCTCTATACTTTCCCATCTGTCCTCCAAGCTACATCCAATGAGCTGATGCATGTGTGTTCCTCCTCCTGGACCTCTCCATCCTGCAATTCCTCATTCACTTCATCCATTACTACTCTCTCTTTCCACTCTCCAGTGCTCCATCCCATCCAACTGTTCCTTCTGGTCATCCATCCATCTCTTTCTCTCCCTCACCGTTGAAGCCATACTTGTCCAGGTTCTTCTTAACCTGCTCAGGTGACAAGCCGGAGTCTTCAGTGACGCCGAAGTAGGACAGAACGTCCCCTGACTCTTTGATGTGTGCGTTCTCCATCCTCGCTGAAACGGAGAGGCTTCAGGACAAAGGGATAAAGAAAAAACACAGAAACACTCACATCAGTCTGAGCGGCCCAGCTGGCCTGAAACTGAAACTTAAAACAACTGAAGCTGTGTTAACCCACCACTTTCTTGGAGTGTGGGATTGGGATTAAAAACTGGCAACCTCCTGCGTTCACACTTGCTCTCTCTCTGCCCCCTCTCTCTCTCTCTCTCTCTCTCTCTGGGCTGTTGCTCTCCTCTCAGAGCCCTGGACTGACAGAAAGTGCAACCCAGCAAACTGTCCTGAAAAGTTTTATACAGATGAAAAAGTGGCCTCATTGGTGCTTGCTCACCATGCACTCACCCCTCATTGGCCGAGAACGTCACAAATAGGTGGGCAGGGATGGCCCTGTGGTAAAGAATAGGAAGGGGGTGGGGGGTGGGAGAGGGGCAGCAACTGTGGTGGGGACTACTGCCTGGCAAGCTGGAAATAAGATGTGCAGAAGAGAACATGCATGGTCAGGACAATGGCTTTCTGAATGAGACGTAGGGGACATTGATGGGCACATGACATGAGTACTAGAGTGTGCCCGTCTGTGGACACGTGGACACTCACTTACTCAGGGTATGTTTCTGCTTTTGCAAAGGCAGATTTCAAACTTCAACTTCAAGTAGATTTCCTCAATGTGGAGATACTATTATGAACAGAACTCCCCATACACAGCCAGTATCAGTGGTCAGGTGCTGGTGCGTGGCAGGAAGATCTTCAGTGGAAATCAAAATTGAGCACGTACACTGAAATAACTACGACGTGACTTTAGAAAAAAGTCGCAGTGAAGTCATTTCTGCCACTTGTAATTTTGCTGAGCAAACCTGAAGAAGCCACAGGTGAAATTCGTTGCTCACTCTGATTGAAATTCATCTCAGTGTGCGGTGGTTAATTTTGATTTGAACTTTACTTGAGTATTTCCATTTTATGTTACTAAACAGTTTAGTTTTACTCCACCACATTTCCCAGGGTGCTTTTTACGCTCAAGCCTGAGTCATAGGGGCCATTTTTCTTCAAAACTATTACTTTTACTTTTAATACTGTAAGTTTATTTTGCTGATTATACATTTACCTAAGAAAAGGATTGTGCTTCTTCGTCTTCTTGCATATCACAATTATCCATCTATCACGAGCACTGAGGATGAAGCAGTGTTGGGCGAGCTAACTGTGCAGCAGAGGAAACACATGCATACGTCACTCAGAGGGGAGCAATTCAAAGAGAAGGGGGGGTCCAGCTCCGCTATTTCACCTCTTCAGTGCATGCGAGAATAAAGGAGCTGTACAGGGTCCTGATGTAGAGAGCAATGATCTCACAGTCACACAAACAAGAGGAAGAAGAAGAAGAAGAGTATAAAGTTGGAGCGGTAGAGAGACTTTTAGGATCTATGAACATGTGAGTTCAGAACACTTAAGCCCCATTTATTGCTGTGGAAAGCATGCACAGCTATTACCTGCTGTTTGTCCATAAAATACTGACAATTATTGGTTTGGAAAGAAGTTCAGGGCTTCTGTTATGTGTAAGATCCTCTTGCACATACAGTACATACTTTGACTGGGATAAATTTACAGTGGCATACAGTTTACCTGCACTTATCACCACCAAAGTGACCTGCAGGTCTTTTAATGCAGGGTCTCACACTGGAACACAACCTGGTCTGAGCTGCATATTTTTGTTGCTGTTTAAGTTTTGTTTAAACTTTAGCCATCGCTTCAGTTAAAGTCAGACAAGCTCATTCTCCACCTGCGATAGTTGATAAAAATGATCCCCACTCAAGGGCCACTTACGCAATCTGGAGATTTCAACCATATCACACGGCCTGTTGGCAGATGAATACACAAAATCAAGTCACAAAATGTGATTTTTCGCCAGTCAGTCAGTTCATCACCACCACCACCCTCAGCTGTGTTGAATACTAGTTAATAAACATTAGCATGCTATCATGTTAAACCAAGATGGTGAAGATTATACCTGCTTAACATCAGCATCAGCATTGTCAGTGTGGTTGTGTAAATGTTACTATTTACTTGGCATGAGACTTTTACTCTTGTTTATCCGTAAGTCAAAGCTTTTATATATGTAATACGATTAAATTATTCATACTTATATGAAAAGAACAGATGTAGTCTGTAATGGTTAGTATTTCTTAGGTGTAAGTTCAGGTAACACCTTAGCTTACGGCCTGCAACATACAGCACGAGTCTCCCCAATTTAGTGTTTAGTGTAATTTCTTTTACCAACTATGTATCAGTAGAGTTTGTACTGATAGGCTACAGGTATGTACAGTAGGTACCAGGAGATGTTGAATTAGTGAATAAGGAGATATCAAAATGGGAAATTAAAAAGATTTTAGATTGTAGGTATTTCGTAACTAACCTGCTCTATTATTACAGTGTACAGTGTGATCATTATTGAGCCATAAAAACACAAACACAACACAGAAGGCTGACCACTCATTAACATTAGAGTATCATCACCAGACTTTTTTTCATTATCCGTCTCACACCCTCTTTCTCTCTGTTTTTATTTCTCTCTGTCTACTCTTATATTGGTGTCTTGCTTGTGTCTCCCTCCGGGTGAGGGTTTGTGTTAAAGCTGCTCTGCTCTGTGTGTTCCCCCTCTGACCCGCGGTGCTGTTGTGGGCCGGCTGAAGCAGTGCAAAGCTCAAGGTGGCTCACTGACATTTAGCTCAATCTCCCTTTGGGATCAGGTTACTGCGGCTGATTCTAAGCACTGTGCTCTAATGCTAATAAAGCACAACAGTGATAATGCTGCACCACCTGCACAGTTGCACACACACACATGCACACGTCACAATGTTCTTGCACAGTGAGAAGGCAATTCTTGAAACACTAGTTTGGAATCATTACTTGGAAAGAATAATGTGTATCATGCAGGTCAAGTCATTTGAGCTGTTTGCGGTGAGTTTAATTCAAAAGGACACTTCACCTCAATGTGAAAGAGACTGACTAACCGTTATGTTGAAAATGAAATGAACAAAAAACTAAATTTAATGACCAACTACAGACTTGTCTGATATAAAAGAGATTGTTACATAATAATATTATAATGACATTTTACATTCACAAAGCGTTTTATTGGGCTGACCTGATCCCTCATTGACTAAAATACTTAGCTCTCCTTGGCTAACGTTATTCTGACTTTCACTAAGTGATTGTTTCAGGTTATAGCTGCCAGTCAGAGAGTGAGCGTCGACACTTCTACCTGTAAGTTTATGTTATCATGTTTTCATGTTTTCTGTCGTGACTGTTAACTTAAGGACATTTAAGTCCTGGGATAACATGGACAAAGGAGAGGACACAGTGCTCCTAAAACAGGACGTCCTCTACTGTCGACCCCTCAGTGCGCTGAAGTGTGTTCAGAATCTTAACCCAGGACTTATATGACTTATCATTTAGGTTAAAAAGAATCAGACCTGATAAGATCTGATAGGGGAAATAATATATTTTCTCTGTGAACATTTTAAAAAAATTCTTGAAAAGCCTCAACTCTCTGAATATTGGTATTTAAGTTTTGTATTGAAATACATTTATTTTCAGTGAACTTGGACACATTTGCCATGATTTCTTTAGAGTTGTTATGCTGCTATTTGAATCATTGTCCATTTGAGTTCTGAAAAAGTTAACAACAAATAATTAATATAAGAATATTTATCAATACTTTTTAAAAATGCTTTACCAGAGTAAACTTAGTTACACCAGTTACATGTACCTGCTAATGGAGCAAACTCAACATAGAAAAGCACATTATGTCTGAGCATGTACACGTTGTGTATTATTTTTTCAGTCTGTATGTATGTAACTGCAAATAATTGCTAATAAATACCATTATTATTTTCTATGTTGACATTCTTTGCTGTTATAGTTCACTTGGTCAGTCTTTTTGCTGATAATGTGTAATTAATACAAACTTTATTTACAACTTAATTAAACAAGTTAACTTCATACAATGTGCACAAAAAACTATACACTACAAAAGTTACGTTTACTAACAGCAATTTTACTTTATTCATTTTTTCACATAAAAAATGTTTTTTGAAATTGGGAAGTCAGATGTCCTGCGATGGCCATTAGAGACTCCAAATTCCAAGGACGTCAACATTGTGAGTGTCGCTTAATTATCCATCTGTTTTTCATCATCATATCCTCCTGCAGTTGTATTCCACATTCACCTTTCCCCTCAAATGATTATGTGCATAATGATTTGGAGCTGGGACGGGGGACAGGCTCGTGATGTAACCTGGATGTAACCAGTGTGTGTGAGAGCTTGTTGGCAGGCGGCTCACTGAGGGAGGCGGGCACGTCAGGACTGCCTGTCCGTGGCTGCTCATCACTGTGATAGATACAGGAAGCACTTTGAGGGAGGATGATGAGGGCCAAAAGTAGCAGCAGAACAAGCAGTAGTGTGTTTTTGTGTGTGTGTAGGTAGTGTGTATACTGCATTGTATTATTAGCTGAGGCAGGGCAGCTGGGGTTTGAAGTGCCTCACTGTAACTGTACCTATAGCAGCAGTTGTGCTCCTCTGGTATAAATAGTGCAGTGGGCATGTGGGCAGGCAGCTATGACACAATGGCAGAATTTCGGTGTTCTTTCAGGGAGGTTTGAGAATGTGACACCCTGCAGGCGAGGACCCCCCTAGATGCTACACCGAGGCTTGAAGGTTACATCAAGGTGGGGATGTGTTTGCAGAGCATTTACATGCACTATGGTAACCAGATTATTCCCCATTAATCTCAACTGAGAATGTAAATAGAAAACCTAGTTTCCCTTTCAAAGGATAAAAGATTTAACAGTTAAAGGAGCAGGTTGACATTTTGGGAAATGCACTTTGACTTTCTTGTGAGAAAATCAATACCACTCTCATGTCTGTACAGTACATGCACATGTCTGTACAATATGAAGCTACAGCTAGAAGCCTGTATCAATCTTTGCATCTAATTCTCAGCAAG